TATATATATATATATATATATATATATATATATATATATCTCCAGCAAAAACAGCAATTAAAACACCTTGAGCAGAATGGAGAAGGATTAAAATCTCTCTCAGGTTTTACCTGCTGTAAGGTTTCTCACTCTGGGAATCTCCTTCACTTCCCACTTCCTGCCCCAGTGACACTGTGTGTCAGGTTTTGACAATGTGTCACCAGGACAGGAAGGGAGGGGAAATATCTCCAACCTGTACACCGAAAGTGATAAGAGTTCTGTCCCTCTTTCGCACCATCCAAAATGGCTGTCAAAGAGCTACAACTTTTTTTTTCTTATTCTTCCACGTCTGTTTCTTTCTCTTCTTTGGAAATGTGGAATTGTATCAAATCTTCTCCCCTTTCCCTTCCCAGGCTTTTTAGTGAGACAAACAGTCATCAACATATGTAGGAGAAAGCGGCTGGAAAGCGACTCCTACAACCCGCCACACGTGCGCCGGAAGCAGAAGATCACCGACATAGTAAACAAGTATAGGAACAGGCAGCTGGAGCCTGAGTTCTACACCTCCCTCTTCCAGGATGTGGGCCTGAAGAGCTGCACTCCTTAAACCAAAGTCCCTAATTCGGGGGCCCGCAGGCAAGTGACTTTGTCAAAGGGAACGCTCTGGCAAAGCCCGGAAACCAAAAATACGAGCTCGATGCACTGAATGTGTGGATGAAAGGAGGCTCTGCGACCCGCCACTTGGTGTCCAGCTCGAGGGATCCCATTCCAGGCTTGTGCTAGCAGAGGACTTTATCACTGATCACTTTGTAGACTGTCAAGCTGCATGTGGATCTTCAGGATCGGTCCGCACACCACTGCTAGAGCACCAACACTGGAGGGCAAAGGAAGACTTGACTGAGCAGCTCCACGGACACATGCCAGCGCTTTAGCCATATCAGTTTAGCCATCCCACTCCATGTAACAGACCTGAAACCACCTCCATGAGTTGAAGTGACTCTTCTTTTATAGGAAAGGGTGAACTAAGGCTATTGTCACCATTGTATCTCGTGTACTGTAGCCTTAACACTGACACAGTCCTGTCAGTAAGGAGTCCTTATAGCGAGGTTTGCAAATATAAACCTCACAAGATGTATGCAATGTTTTATTTTCTAGTGTTTCACGGGCGTATTTAATACAACATTGAGGTGCGCTAACCTCTGGCAGCCAATCACAATTTGGCACCCTAGGCAGGACATTCAAAGCTAATGCCTGGTTTGTTGCCATGGGCATTACCGCAGTTCCTTGCTTTACAGGCCTTATGTAGAAAGAATCTGATTGAAGGACTGTGGGTCAAAAGCGTGACTGGGCAGAATGGGACAGAAGCGTGACTGGGCAGAATGGGACAGAAGCGTGACTGGGCAGAATGGGACAGAAGCGTGACTGGGCAGAATGGGACAGAAGCGTGACTGGGCAGAATGGGACAGAAGCGTGACTGGGCAGAATGGGACAGAAGCGTGACTGGGCAGAATGGGACAGAAGCGTGACTGGGCAGAATGGGACAGAAGCGTGACTGGGCAGAATGGGACAGAAGCGTGACTGGGCAGAATGGGACAGAAGCGTGACTGGGCAGAATGGGACAGAAGCGTGACTGGGCAGAATGGGACAGAAGCGTGACTGGGCAGAATGGGACGGAAGCGTGACTGGGCAGAATGGGACGGAAGCGTGACTGGGCAGAATGGGACGGAAGCGTGACTGGGCAGAATGGGACGGAAGCGTGACTGGGCAGAATGGGTCGGAAGCGTGACTGGGCAGAATGGGTCGAAAGCGTGACTGGGCAGAATGGGTCGGAAGCGTGACTGGGCAGAATGGGTCGGAAGCGTGACAGACTTCTTCCATACATCCAAATCTTATTAAAGAAGCCATTTTTTTTTGTTCTGTTTCGTGCCACTAACTGACTCTGTACAGGCCGAAGCACCATATGTTATCAAAGTCTTCATTGATGTGTATTTTTTTTTTGTACTCTTTTTCCCAGGTCCCTATAAAGCAACAAAATGTGCTACACTTACAGATCTCTAAAGTTGGTGTCCCAAAAATCGTACCCATTGATCACACATATAACTAGCTAGGCAGCACCAATAGGAGAGAGCCATATTAAATATGGCCCCTGCTACTAGTCTAGAGGTAGCTGCCACACAACTATTTTTTTATTTATTTTTTAGTACACAAGTGCAGTTTGTAGAAATCTCTTTATGCGATGAGTTCCCCTTTTTAAAATAAGGATTTTTGTATTGCTGAGGCATGTTTCCTTTCAGTACCAATGAGTTCCTAGGGGAAGGTGGTTTGTGCGTGAAGGTGGATGCCTGACCTGTTTAGTCTCACAGTGGTAATTCCTCCCATCTCTTCTATCGTGCAACATTAGGGCACTGATACACAATGTTGTACTGTGTACAATGTATGATTAGCACTGTATCTCTGCACATATCTGTAGATGGTGCCCATAGTGGAATCATTGGGGTTCTTCATTCATACATTACAACGGACCTCTACTTCAGGCTCCTCTATGCATCACCCTAGATTGTTCCCAAATTCTGTTATGACTCGCAGTGCTGCTTTAAGTGGAAACTGAAATTTCCACACCCCAATCAGATGTATTTGTGCTTATTGATTTGCCTTATTAAGGCTCGTACACATAAAGCAGTTTGCACTGTGGATGGCAGGAATAATAAAGCAGTGCTGAATATGGCTGACTTCACATGGGGCGGTGAAAGTCTAAGGGCCTGTAGTATCCAGCATAGGACAGATGTGGCAGACAATATTCGGGGAAGCATCAAGCTAAGCTTGCACTTGATTGCTTCAATAGAGATTTGGGGTCTCAAAGTGCTGTACAGGCATAAGGAACCCTTTCTTTTATAGCCTGCATGGGGCCTATTGCATAGAAGTCCCCATGCACGAAGTATCTAAACAATAGTCTGGGTTTCTCTCCCAGGCAAGCAATTATGTCCCTTTTATATTATAACCTGCCCTAGCAAACTGGAAGGGAGAAACTGATTGGTTGCTAAGAGGAAAATGGTTTTCATTCAGACACTTCATAGATGAAGCTCATCATCATGTAGATATCTGGAGACTGGGCTAAGTGCCACAAGACATGTGCATGGTCCCACATTGATTGGTGGAAATATTGAAGGGTGGGTATTCCTAAGGGCCTGAGTCGATGGCGTCCATTTGAGATGCTTCTGAGATCATTTAGAATTCATTGACGGGTGCAATTGACAACCTCCGGACCTGCTTCAAGCGTGCTTTGCATTCCCATAGACTTGTGTGGAAATGCAAAACCTGTTTGAAGTGAACATCTTCCAGCATCCGCTTTCTTTATGGCTCTTGACATTTGGTCATATGAGCCCCAGAGTAAGTCAACGCTGGAAGACTTCCCTCTGCCTAATGCTGGGATCGCAGGTATGAACAAAGGAGCAGCTAGCCATATAATGCCTAATGGCCTAGTGCACAAATGCCCCCTCAGCCCAGTCCTCCGCTGTGTGCAGATGCCGCCTTCCTGTGTATATGGGAAGTGCATACCGCCTAGCATGATTCGGCAGGAAATGACTTTAGGGGTTTCCCAACAACTGCAGTAAGACGCCCCCTGTCCCACAACTCACTGAAATCTGTTGCATGTTGGCCCTCATATCGATTTTTGTGCTGGATTTCTTGGCAATTATGAGATTGTGATATCTGTTCAGACCATAAGAACTGCAGAGTCTGTGACATCATACGTGTGGTGAAGACTCACAGACGTCCTAGTGTGATTCCCTCTTCTTCAGTCAGCGGGGCGGGTTCCTCTCTGATATTCGAAGATTAGATGAAGAGATCTTTTTAAATGTAGATACAAGTTTGTTTTTGTTTTCTCTGTTCAGGATTATGTTTGCATATTTTTTATCACTTCTATAAATCATCTTTCACTTGAATTATTGCCTTTTTTTGGGTGTACTGTCTTG